GATATAAGCAGTCAGTCAGAACTGCGTTTAAAACAGTAAAACTCATCCGTAGAACAGTAAAACCGTGATATGAAGATGGCATCATTTAGACGTACTCCACTCCAAGGTAGTAGACTTAAAGGTATGAACAGTACTGATCATTATTTGGAAAGTTTAATAACAGAGACATCCAGAGAAGTTGAACAGTTGTCACAAGAAGTAGACAGTTTAATGAAGAGTAGAGACAATCAATATAGTAGAATTCCTCCTGGTGAAAATGTACCATTTGTAACATGGTCATGTATTGACGAAGGTAGTATTCCACAGCACTCTACTCCACAAGAATCTGTGTCTGCGCAGAAATATTATGGTATACACCCATCTCAGTATAGTAAAGCCACTAGATCAGAACAGTTTGGTAGAATACATGCAAACAGCAGAAATATATCGAATAATGTTGTTCGAAATAGACATAAACCACAGAGAGATGTGTATCCCACTCGGTAGCGACCTGATTATGAGAGCAGGCACATGTATACAAAAAATCCACATGTTAATAGTCGATCAGATGTAGCCCAGCAGGACCCACTTTTAAGATTGGCTGATATCTTAACTAAACGGCAAGATGGACTTCCTCCAATGGAGCCGGAAGTGTATAGTGGTAGTAGAATGGATTTCCCTACATGGTTGAAGTCATTTGAAGCACTCATTGAAAAACAGACACATTCAGTAACAGAACGTCTGTTCTACCTTAGTAGATATACATCAGGCAGTGTTCTCCCCAGGAATTTAAACCACTGTGGTGGCCTAATTTGCATATAATTTGCATATCATTTACATAATAATAGAAATTGACCAAAGCACATTTACACCCACACAATAAACAACACATATTTTCAAAAACAAAGTGGCAGATATTTATTTGCTTCACACAGTGTTATAAACACTTTTATTTTGGGCACTTTTGTAATATTAATGAGCTCCGTCACAGTGCTCCGTCACAATTCCTCATACTCTGTCATGATGCCATGCAAAAATTAAATACTTATTTTTTTTATATGAGAAAAACATAAAATTTGAACTAGTTTTATCGGGAGAAGTTATTTTTGATCACTCGATCACTTCGGTGAAAAACACAGACCCGCCATGATAGTTATGACGCATTAGTTGACATGTGTCCTTTGACCCGGTGGGTCAAAAACGCCATTAACGAATCAGAATGCCGCATGGTAATGCCGGTAGAACCCGAAGTTTTCCGAATGGTCGTGATCATAAAAATTACATTGGAAGTAAAGCGATGTCGTAGCACGATGTGTTGGTATGAATTTCAGATGAAAACTGCATGATGGTTTTCGAAAGAGGTGATTAGAAATTTTTAAAAGGTAAAAGAAGTCTTGAAAGAAGAGTTTTTACATGATTCACGATGATAACAGTTCAAATGTATTTTACCCAATCACGCAAAATTAAACACGTTGTTTTTTCTTGAGTAGCGTAAACTGATCGTGAACTCCGCTTTGCCCACGTTACATCGGGTGGAATTGATTTTGAAAGAATTTTAGCTTTCAATCTAAAGACTGCGTCTATCGTCAGAAAGTATTTACTTACAAACAAAGAGGTGCTAATTTTACAAAATTGACTTGTATTGTTCAATCGCGGGACTAAGTCTGTTGTTTACAAATTATTATCCACGACTGGCAGGATGCGTGTCGGTCGGTACGTAAGTATAATAACAACATGGCAATAGTCCTGGTCGGAAGCGTTTCCGTGGTGGTCGCTAATTTTGAGGGCCGACCAGCGTGACGAGATCCCCAATGAAAAAAGCACTATGGCGGTCTTGCTAATCACCGTGGCGGTGTCAGACCGGTGTGGCGGCAAATCGAAGCACTGTGGCGGGACCGCCACGCTGTTTACATCCTGGGGAGAACACTGTCAGGAAATGCCAAGGAAGCTATTCGTCACTTTCTTACACTTGAGGATGAAGAGGCATATGAGAAGGCAAAGTATACATTAATCCGTCGCTATGGTGACAAGTTCAAGGTAGCTGAAGCATACCGAGACAGATTGCATAGATGGCCAATTATCAAACAAGAGGATGGTGAAGGCTTGCTGAAGTTGTCTGACTTCCTGGAGCATTGTCATGCAGCTATGAATTCAATACATTATTTACGATGTCTTGATGATCCTGAAGAAAATCGAAAGATTCTCAGTAAGTTGCTAAGGTACATGTATGTAGTTGACAGATGGAGCAGAGTTATAGACAGGCATCTGTATGGTAATCAACAACAGTCTTACTATTATGCAGACTATGAAGGTTGTTATCCATCATTCACTGATTTTTGTGAATTTATGGCAACTGAAGCTCGTATCGCTTGTGGTCCAGGAAACATCAAAGTTGACAATTATAAGGAAGACAAGAAGACATACACAAATAGCAGAAAGGCTCGTACATTAGTTTCAGAATCTACAGAACTGAATCCTATGTCCTCAGAGCAAACTTCAACCGAAAATGATGTTAAAGGGAAGAACCCCAGTTGTATTAAATGTAAGGAGTCTCATCATTTAAGTAGCTGTCAGCAATTTCTTACTCTGTCAGTAGAAGACCATAAGACATTTGTTGTGGATAACCGATTATGTTTTGGATGTCTGAACAGAGGTCATTGTTACAGAGAATGTAGAAGAAGGAAGTATTCATCACTGTGTAGGACACCAGATTTCCAGTCTAGTTCTAAGAAAGTTGTACAGGGTCAGCTAGGTCAGTCTAACAGTCAGAAAAATTCTGACACACAAAGTAAACCCAATGTATCCATGCAAAAGAATGCAGTATCAATGAAGACAAAAATTAATACTAAGCAGATAGAGTTTGAAGAATCAGAGTATCATTCTATGGTGATTCCAGTCTTTATTTGTCATAAGAATGATCCTGCACACCGAGTGAAGACATA